CAGTTGCTAGGCCTTTGTTATAATGATATCAAACAGTGACAATTTGACAAATTCTTCTTGCTTATAAGTTGAACATCCCCAGTGACGTTATCACATGCTAAGGTAATATCTATGTACAGAACCCAGTTCAACTTCCAAGTGGAAACAAAACTTTGAGGACACTAGGCTGTGCTAGAGTTTAATATCCCCAACTGAGCACTGTTTTTTTTCCTTGAAACACATTTTTCTCCTTAAGATCATCCTCACTGTCTTCAAAGAGACTAAGTCCAGTTTTTAGCTTTGTCTTATCACTTTGCATAAACACAACAAGAGCAATAAATAATCACACAGGCTCTTTAAATCTGCTTTGCTGGAACTCACACAGAGAACCTTTAGACTGAACTTTATAGTTAGCCCTTCAGGGCATAGAAGCCAAGCCACACACCTATCATCAGGCTTTGCCTACAGTACCTGTTTTCCTTTAAGTCTTTGAGGTTCCCAAGGTGTCTTGAGGTTCCCAAAGTGTCTTAAGTTTCCTCCTGGCCATCTTTCAGGAGAGCAACCTTTGTTCCTTCCCTGGAAAGGTGGCCACAAACCACACAACAAACCAAGGTACCAGGCCATTTCTCTAGTGGCTTTCATTAGCTTTGAAAGTCAATCTCAGTTCCTCAAGGCCTTCTAGTAATAACCAGAGTCCAGGCATGCCTCCTTCAGGCATGACAATCCAATCAAAGTCTTTGTTAACAAAACCACATTTGAGACTGGTCTCATTCGTTTTATGCAAAGAAATTTTATGCCATCACTCACTCATTAAGAATGCCAAATTCTGGAAGGATCAAGTTGGGAGAAAAATACAAAGGAAAATCCTTGTTCTCCAAATATCCATCAAAATTGCATCTCCATGCTTTATACCTTCTATTGCTTAAACCATAAAATTCCTTTCCAACCTAATGTGAAGTTTTAACAAACTTTCAGAAACTTCAATTTCCTTTTCAGAACAGAAACAAAACCAAACCTGAAGCTAAGACAAAGTTCAAAAATAGGGGGGACTAGAACTAGCCTTAGCATCTTGTCTCAGACCAACTGGCGCACCAAGAAGTCACACAGGCAACCTTTCTTAGGTCCAAATGGCCCAAAGCCTGAACAGTAGAGACATTCTCTCACCTATCGGTACACCAACAAATTTCACAGGAGAGACATGACCTCTTACCCCAGCTGGTATTTCTATCTAGCACCATGACAGAGAGAGAGCATTCCAAGTATACCCAAAACAGCAAAGTTATCCCAAGTCCCCCAGAAGATCAGAAAACAAGGAAAGAATAGCTGCAATGAAGAGCTAAAGTTCCTTTCCTTTCAAGCTTAAAACTTTTACAACCTCCTATGCACCTTAAAACCATAGCTCACTTTCAATCCTTTTCTTTTTTAACAATGGGAAGGATCATGCTCTAACTCTATATCAGGCAGCTAAAAGTCTTTAGATCTGCAAGCACATCTTGTAACTTCTTGAAACATGGGCTCTATAAGAGTGCTATTATGCAATGACCTGAATGTCTGGCACATGGGACCATGTCCCACTTCCCTAACCACTGGCAATACTGCTCCAACTTCATGATGGTATAGCAATTTAGGGAACCATTTCCCTAAAATTTTCCCCATTTTTTCCTATAGTCCAAAATGTACACAGGCAAAACAGTGTTGCAATAGAAATCCAATTCTTCCTTGCACATTGGATAATGGCTGTACATAGTCCAGTCCACTAAAATTATGCCCAGTGTGCTCACTCCAATAGCCAGAATAGAACAACCCCTAAAGGCCCAGATGTACCAGCCAAAAACTATGAGCACAATGAGATACCAGACAAACTGGGAATATATAAGCAGAACTTGAACCCAGAATTCCATCTCACACGCAGGTTTTAGGGTCTCATTTTCTGCCAACCAGTGCTGCAAATTGTGGCCCCCAAAACGTGGCACCTTAAAACTCTGGTGATCCTCACCCCCTGTTGGTACGGTGTGTGTCCTGCATGAGCCCGTTCCAGACTGTGCAAACAGGTCGAGGCAAGAGCCATTAGCCGGGCACCTCTCAGCCTCCCTGTCAATAAACATGTTCTCAGGTGAGGATTACAAAAAAGGGCTAATATGGTGAAACCGCAGGGCTCAAGGAGAGTTGAGACTCATGGGCCAGAATCTTATAACACTTTTCTAACTATGCCTAGCAGTATCTATGGGTGAGAAGATAATTTTCTAATCCTGACCCATGACCTTTCTTTGACTAAATGGTCACTTCATATAATTCAGGTTTCCTTTACTGAGATGTGAACTTTAATGGGTTTGGAAAGAACACTATTTATCAAGATTAATGTATTTCTAAGGGGTGGCTCAAGACGTAGTGTGTTTAATGTAGCTGTAATACTCCTGGACCCCCGGTTCTGTTGCTTGAGGAATATTTATTTCAGTGTCCTTGTCTTTACTCCCCACACTTAACAGTCCTCTATTTCTTTTTATTGCTCATTTTAAACAGGGAATATCTAGCACATTAGTTTCAAAATAAATAACTATAGTAAATTAGATGGGTTAAGCACCCTTTTAAAGAAAATAGCAGGTAATTTATTGCTCTCTGGCAAATATAGATAATGCAATTCCTTCTTATTAGCCTAAACAGTCATCAACTTAAAATACACAACAAGACCTATTTGGCCTGTGAACTTGTATATTTGTTCTAAACCCTTATTTTGTCCATTACGCTCCATGTTACTGTCCATTTAAAAAAAAACAAACCAGGTTCTGTTTTCCATATCATAGAAAACCAGTAAGAGAACACATTTTAAAGTTTTAAACTAATGAGGTAAACTAGTAAATAGGAACATTAGGATCCATTCAGCTTTACCAGTGAAATCCTGAAGGGAGTAACACTTTTGACCTGTTGAAAAGCACAAAATGCCTTTATGCTTCCTGACATATTCTACGCTTATTTTATAGCATCTTGTTTCAGAGATGCTCTATCTATTGAGATTGGTTTATAATATTAAAAACAAAGGAAATTCCCTTTACAGGTCCAGAATGAGAGGCAGCGAGTTTGCATTTGAGCAGCATGGGTACTATGCTCAGAGAGAAAGTTTTCAGTCCTGCTCCTGACAAAACTCAGGCTAATTACTGAGCCACTCTTAGGTCCTATTTGTTTTCTGCAACACATGGCTAATAATATTTACCTATGTTGTGGTGAGTAAACATTCCATAAAGGCAAGCAAGTTTTATTTAATAGTCTTGGTTTCAGCTACATATACATCTGTAACACGAATAAAAATTTCACATCTCCATGTTTATGTAGCAAGGAATGCAAAAGCATCCACTGACATGCAAATAGTTTCCATTGTTAGGGAAACCTGAAACTCATTGAGACAGTGGCCTGCATTTAATGGTAAGAGCTAGACTAGCATTTAGGTTTCTTTTTCTGGAGTTAAAATCAGTGTGAAGGTGAGATTCTGGGCCCTCCCATGGTGACTGTCAAATTGCCAAATTGTGTTGGTATTGATCACAGGGACAGAAAAATTTCATTTGAAATAGAATAGCTCTGCAGAGTTGTCACCGTCTTTGATATGGGCCTCCCTCAGATGAGAACCTTGCAGAGTTATTGTAGAAAGGGTAGAACTGTGTTGGTGAAAGCTGTCCGCATGCTGTGTCTGTACATTTAGGAGGAAACCACGGTGCACTTCCTGCTGTTTGGAACTCTGTCTGCTGACATTAAAATGTCCTCACAACTTATAAAAATCATTAAGGATTCCATTTGCACCTCCCTTGTGGGAAGTTAAGAAATAAAACCATGCCAGCTAGTGTGCATTTCAAATATTTACAATACTGCACTTTCTCTCCAGGCTGTACTTTGGCAGTATCCCTCTGACAAATTAGTGTAAGCGCAGAATAGCCTTCCCCAAGGCCATCATTTTATTAAAGAAATCTCAGAGTCACTTCTTTCTCCATTGTCCCGCAGATCCTGATTTCTTATCTCAGATGTTCCTGCGAGAGAATAAAGAAGGGAAAGAAAGAGAAGAAAAAGGAAAGGGAAGGAGAAGGCAACGGAAGGGACAGGAAGGGAAGAGAAGGGGAGGGAAGGTAAGGGGAGGAAGGAGGGGAGAAAAGTAACTGGCATTTAGCAGTTTGTTTCATAAATATTTACACTGAACTGAACCTCAGCTAGCACACTTCCATTCTGAATCTCAGATGAACTGCAGTTTCAGTAACAAGAGACAAGGTGTAGCAATAATGATGGCCTGTGAGCGTTCTACAGGAAAGAAAAACATGGGCAATAGCTATCTTTAATGCTATAAACATCACTCCTTGACAAAAGATTAAAGAGAGACGAAGGCAATTTCTTTATTTTATTTTTTTAAAAAAACACTATTTATTTTTAGAGAGACGGTAAGGGAGTGAGAAAGAGAGTGGGAGAAACATCAACATGTGGTAGCCTCTCATGTGCCCCCAAATGGGGACTTGGCCCCCAGCCCAGGCATTTATCATGCCTGGGAATCGAACCGGCAACCCTTTGGTTCACAGGCTGGCACTCAATCCACTGAACCACACCAGCCAGGGCTGAAGACAATTTCTTAAGAGTAAAAGTTGTGAAATGATGGGGAAGGTGGTAAAAATTATTTTGGAATTTTTTTGCCTAGAAGAATATTTACAATTGAATTCATTTTTACCTTTCTGGGCTGGTTAGAAGAGGCCCACCTGAGGGTGAGAAACACCAAGTCCTGAAAGACTGTGAAGTCTTTAGATGGAAGGAAGGAGACCTTATGGACATGGGGATGTGGGCAACAAACAGAGGCAGAAAAAGAAATCCAAGGAGAGCTTCTTGCATAGGTTCAAGATGGGAACTAGGTTACCATGAAGGGATTCCTCTCCTCTCCCACCCTTTGGTCACCAGATTGATATTGTTCTGAAAATATATCCCCTGGTGTAATCCAGCACCAGGACCTGGAACTTAATGGTTACGTCACTGAGTTTGTCACTCCTCTCAAATGGCAGGAATCACCCTGGCGCTGACCGTGTCCGTGATCAGCTCTGGCACGAGGGCTTCCGTGCCCCAGGTGTTCTACATCAAGGCCGTGGGGCCGCGGACGGTACCTGCGGGGCCCCCGCTCTCTGTGTTCCCGTCAGCCACTGAGCATGCAGCCCGGAACGACCTCGTCACGGTGGAAGAGCGGACACAGCGCGGGGAGACACGGAAGATACTGCCTTGCTTTGATTATCATATAACTTTAAGAAGGTGAAAAAGATTATCCTCATCAAAACCCGTCTCTTGACAGTGTTGCCAGCTCTTGCATTAAGTACATATCCCTTGTCAAGATGCAAGTTTACATGATTTTGACAATTTAACATCAAACTTTATGCTCTGTGCTGGCTGGTTTCCTCGGCATCCTCCCTCACCTTTGCCAGGTGTTCTTTTGTGTGAGGCCTTTTTCTCAGTGTGCTAATTCTATCACTGGAAAAAAAGGGGTTGATGTACCCATCATATCCTTTCAAGTAGATCATGGTAATAATAACAGCTAACATTTAATGAGTACTTATTATGTATGGGCATTGTGCTAATCACCTATTATGTCATTTAATTCTCAAAGTAACCCCAAGAGATCAATACTTTGTTACCCTCATTTCATGGATGTGAAATAGACGATGGGTAGCAACTTGGCCTCGAGGCCATGCAGTTCAAGAGGAATCAGGATTTTCTTCTGCATCTCCCTGACTCCAGACTGCTCTCAACCAATAAATGACATATTTCTCTACATCAAGAGCTAGGATTATTTTTCTCTTCTTGTTTCTCAGGAGAGTGGTAGAGCATAAAGAGAGGTTCTCTTCACGATATACAGGGAGTAAGGTCCCTCTGGGTTTTCAATGTTGTTACATGGTTTTGTGACATTGCTTAATAAATATGGATAGATTGATCTCTATCTGCTTTATTTCACAAAGGATTGAGGCTGCAGTTCCTGTTATTATGAGAACTGACATGCAATACTGTATTTTAGACACCTAAATGATCAAATTAATTTGTTTGCTAGCATACACTTAAGAGAACATATATATAAATACACATATAAGTATACATTTATACACATAATTTTAATGTAACATATTTACATTGCTTTAGGAAGTTCTTATTAAACATTTATACACACTCAAAACATTACATTTTTTATATTTCTAGTGAGAGCATTTCATACTTTTCAGAATGTTTTTGTATCCTCTTCTCCAGCTGAACCCTCGTATCAGCTTCCTGATGTAGACCTTGTAAAGAATGTTGTCTCTATTTTAAAAATGAAGAAGCAGAGTTTGAGTGAAGTAAAGTGATTTACTAAAAGTTTCACAGCCAACAGAGCTGTAAGGCAATTCAGTTCTCCTGAAATGCTAGCTTTGTTCTTTTTTTATATCCTTTGAGTCAAAGCTACAATAGGAGCTGATTTTGCTTTATTGCAGATGCCTCAATTTCTTTTGTCAAACATGTGATTATGTGTCTCTGTCACACATATACCCCATAGTGACTGATACGCAGGTGCGAGAAAACCAGAAGCTTATGGACACGTGCAGTGGTGGGTGTGTATGCGTCACATGGGACTGGTTCCAGTTTTCATTCTGTAGGTCTGGGCTGGGACCTGAGCGTCTGCATTGCTAACAAGCCCCAGATGCTCCTGGCCCATTGCCCACACTGTGAACGGTAATGACTTAGATAATCTGTGAAGTGAAAATTGACAGAGAAAAAAGTGTGACAAGGGAAAGAATTTGTTGTTCTGGTTTTGTGCTCTTGTTTTCTTTTTAAGTGGGGGGTGGTTAACACAAGAAAGAAGCAGTGAGTAATTATGACAAACCTTTATGTTTTCTTTGACATATCTATGTCTCCTTACCCCCACCTGCCACGCAACACACCTGTTCACCCTGGAATTTTTTTTTCACTTGATGGGGTTGTGCACAATTTCCTTGTGTACCATTAAAAAAAGAGGCTCTTTTTTTATTAATAAACGTCATTCATTTTAAAAATTATTTTTTGTTTTTAATTGTGGTAAAATACAAATAACATAGAACTTATCATCTTAACCAAAAAGTACATAGTTAAGTACTGTTAAGTATATTCACAGTGTTGTGCCACCAATCTCCAGAACGTATTGATCTTGCAACACTGAGACTCTGTACCTATTAAACTCTCCCATTGTCTCCTCCTCCCACCTTCCGGAAACCATCATTTTAAGCATCCTCTTTTAAAGGTGCAATTACCTCAAAGAAATATTCTACCTGATATTCATACTGTTGTTAAATAAAGTGAAAGAGCACAAGATTTGGAGTCAGAATAAGTGCTGCCAAATCCAACTTTACCACTTTCTAGCTTTGTTTCCAGGTTGTTTCTCCTAAACTTCCTATGTGTTTGCAAAACTGTGGAATTCTTCCATCTTTATTCCACAGGGTCAAATGATGTAATAAAAACATCTGAAAACTTTTGCAAACATTAAAGTGCTACACAAATGTTAAATTCTTATTGTAATTAGTGCCCAGCACATACGGTATGAAGGACTAGGAGTTTTAATAGGGATAGTCGGAAACAGCTGTCTGAGATGAGCAGTCTTCCAAGGGATAAGATGCCCCAGTAATGGGCAGGGCAGAAGGATATGTCTATGGGTTTGGGGCTAATCAATGATACCTCTCTCTTCAGAACAGGGAAACTGATCTTAGAATGAAGAGAGATATATGAGACAGACAGAGGGATATCATAATGTCGCCATTTAAAATTTTTTTATTGTTGTTTAGTTAACAGTTGCCCTGTCTTTTTCCCCATTACTGTCCCCTGTCCCATCACTCCCCACTCCCACAGTCAGTTCCCCCTCACCCCATTGTCCGTGCCTATGAGTCCTCTACTCATGTTCCTTGGCTTGCCCCTCCCCCTTCTTTCCTCTGTTATTCTCCTCGCCCTCCCCTCTGGTCTCTGTCAGTTTGTTCTTTATTTCCATGTCTCTGGTTCTATTTTGCTCATTTGTTAGTTTTGTTGATTAGGTTCCACTTATAGGTGAGATCAGAGGGTATTTGTCTTTCACAACCTGGCTTATTTCACCTAGCGTAATATATCCATTGATAGAGCAGTTTGGAGAAAGTGGCTTACATCTGTGAGCAGAGGGTCTTACTAATACTTCATCACTCAATTAAACTTACTTATTCTCTTGGTCACTGGCTAAGCTAGGCAACTCAGGACTCTCCCTATAAAGATAGTCTCCTTTTACCTTATTTTACATCAAACCTGGACACCAATGCAGATTTCATAATGAGGACTCAAAAGGGATTGGGTCGCACATGCCAGTTCCTTCTCCCACGTCCCCGGGGTGGAGTGATTGAGGGATGGTGAGAAAGGCCAGGAATGCTAGGCTAATGGAGTTTCTATGAAATCATGAAGTTCAGGCAAAGGCACCTCCTACCACACACACTCATGTACACACACATCTCAACCACCCCCCAGATACCAGGACCTGGGAGAACAGCAAGGGCCGTGGGAAAATTATCCCCAGTGTTGATCTTTATCCAGGAAGGAGAAAGGAAGCAGTTTTCTTTCTTATTCCTTCATCCGAATATTTTCCTAATTCTAGGACTTAGAACTCTGTTTAATACAGTAAAATATATAGTTAAGATATAGCGTACCTTAGTTATGTGCTAATTTATAGGCTAGAGTGAAAAATTAAAGACCAGTACTAAAAGTATTTCTATTGGAAAAACCAACTTAAAAGCTTGTAGAAATTAACAGTCTACTGGTGAATTGTGTATTGCAAGATTTAATCAATTACATAGACCGTTCTAAATGATCATACTGGAGAAAGTAAATGCCCCCTTGCTCTTCACAGAAGATTTTCTCTTCCTTAACACAATAATGACATTTTTGTTAGGATAAAAAAATAGATGTCCAGTGAGTGGGATGACTTAGCAGTATTCTGGGTGGCTGTACATAGTTATTCTACCCTCAGATCAGAGGTGAATATATTATTAATGTTATTAAATAGCTATCTGAGGTTAGTGATTTGGTTGTGATCTCATTTTATGTTTATTTTGTCCATTTTCATTTTATTATGGAAATTTCTACAATTAAAATAAAAAAGGACAACACTTGGTATGGGTCACTGGTTAGTTTGACTACACAGAATAGTCTCCATGTCTTTTTATTTTTTAATTTTTAAACACTGACCTTTTTTTGGCTGAATATAAAGGAAAATTTTCAATTATAGTTGACATTCAATATTATATTAGTTTCAGGTGTACCGTGTAGTGGCTGACATTGTATAACTTTACGAAGTGATCCCCTTGGTAAGTCTAGTACCAACCTGGCACCACGCAGAGTTATCACAATATTATCGACTGTATCTCCTGTGCTGTACTTTACATCCTCGTGACTCTTTTGCAGTTACCAGTTTGGACCTCTTAATCCCTTCTCCTTTTTCATCTAGCCCCCAACACCTCTCTCATCTGGCAACCATCAGTTTGTTCTCCATATCCCTGAGTTTCCTTTTGTTTTATTTATTTTGTTTTTCAGAGTACACATATCAATGAAATCATTTGGTATTTGTCTTTGCTGACTTATCTGAATTTAATAAAAAATTCGGTTTTTAAATCCCCACGAACCCAATATACATTTTGGCAGAATTTATGCTGCTGCCTCCAATATGAATTCTGAATAATTGCATCCAGTAGTAGCCTGGTTATATTTGTTGTTCATTTCTAAGCTGCCCTGTAGGTCAAGAAGTGACTTTGTTTTTTTCAGAAAGCAATTAGTAACAGCTCTTTCCTAGGCAGTGCTCTGTGACAAAGAGAACTGCTATCTCCCTCAGAGTAAAACTTTAAAGAGAAATAGCAGTTTATGTTCAAACAGGCACTGGAGCCAGAAAGCACTGGTAATTCACTCCTTCCAAAAAATAAGCCAATTTCAAGTTGTTTAATGGGTTATGTTAACATCATTTATATGTACTTTTCAGAAAAAATGGGAAGGGTTGGCCAATTTGCATTTTTAAAAGAGCAGCTAAAATCACTCCCTACCCCTACCCCAAATTTAAGCATAAATGGATCACCAGATGATATTGTTGTTGGACAAAAACATACTGACTGGGCCACTGTTACGTTTTCTTGTGAAGAGAAAAAATAAACTGAAAAGCAAACCCAATTGGCTTATATTGCTTTCCTGATAAATCATGTTCAATTTCAACTCACAAACTTATGCCAAATATTTCATACTGCTCAGAAACAAAGGGGAAAGCCTGAACTGCTTCCTTCTGGGGAAACACACGCCTGAGTGTAACTGTCTGTCAGGCCAGGACTAAATTAAAAAACACCCACATTATAGTTTTGTAACATTTATTTGTATAATTCTTAAATACCTCTACAGAAAAAATTATAAACTTTGCTAAATCCCTATTAAAATAGATCTCCAAGATAATGTTTTCCATTTATTATTTTTTCTATTTATTATTAAAATGTCTTTTAGTTAGGCACTAGAAGCAAAACCAGAATACTTTAAAATAAGCAAAACATTTTAGCATTTATTGAAACTATTTTTCAATCCTGATTGTTTAGATTTTTAGTGTAATTCCTATTGATAAAACTATATTCATGACTTTAACAAGTCTTTTTATCAGATTTCTGAAATGTACAATATTGATGCAGTTCAATATGCATCATGGTGCAGTTCAATATGGCCTTTGATGGTTGTTCCCTTGACAGGGAGACTGATAGGGCAGAATTCCTTTTCTCTTGGCTCAGAAGAAGCCTCCATTGGAGGAAGAGTCACAGGCAGCCCCAGGGCAGATTCATCTCAGATAAAGAGAAGGTCTCTCTGGTAGAATCTTTTGGAGAACAACCATGTTATGACACTATTCCAGGATTTTATTTCCCATTGTGTATATTTTATTTAATTTATTTTACTGGGGTATGTATGTGTGAGGAGGAATTCCCAATATATAAAACCAGTTTAGGAGTCAGATTATATTGAACAACAAGTGCCTGTTCATTGGACAGTGGGAGACTGAACTGAGAGTCAGCCAGTGACGTCTCCTGGCCTAAAGATTTGATAGTTGACTCATCTACATCTAGGAGAGTTGAAGGTTTTAGGAGAATTTGACTCCATAAATGAGAGTCACCGGTATGCATATTATAGAAAAACCATTGCTATAGGGAAGGGTTTTGTAACTGCTTTATCGGGACCCTCCTTGCTTTCTAAATGTACATTTCCTGTATTTAAGTAAGGAATAAAACTGGACAGTAATATAAGGGGACCTTTTTCCCTCTGAGCTAGCCAAGTGCCAAATTACCTAACTGAGCTGAATCCTCCTAAGGAAGAACATCAACATGAAGGTGGTACCATGGATTCTCACACAACTGAGATTCCCATGAAGATTGTCCTTCTGTCATCTCCAGTCAAGTCTTTTATGTTACTAATACATTGGTTATGTTACTGAGTCCAAGGGGGACAAAACAAAACTGTAAACTGCAGTCAGTCTTCCCAGCCTAATGTTAAATTAATGCATCACACTTTGAGAAGAGCATCTTATATTTCATAGTTGAGGTACTGTTTTCATAGCTTTTTGGTGGTTTTTAGTTAGCTATTTATTCATCAAATGTTTATTGACTACATGTTCCTACATGTTCCAGGCACTTTATTAGGTATTATGTACTAAGAAAAAACCCCAGAAAGAATACAAAATGACATTTCTACCATCAATGAGTGCAAGAACTGTGAACTGGTAGTTACAAGAAGTAACAAACGCAATGGATGTTGAATTAGAGGTTTCCATACTGTACTGAGTTCTAGAAAAGGGGCACCAAAGAAAGGAAAATAACGTTCACGAAGGAATGTGGACTCTCAATTTATAAATAACTGAAGATGCTTCCAGATGTGGTATTGAGTGACAAATTGAATAAAATTTATATATCCCATAGTAATCTTTAGTAACTTTGGCTGAACCAAGTAAATCAGGTCAAGTGGGTATTGAATAGATGTTTGTTGAGCAGAAAAACCTCTAATGATCAGCATTTATTTTGTGTTGACTGGTTGTGTGTACACTTTTGTGTTGAGTATTTTGTAAAAAAGATTCCATTTAGAGATAAGTCCATCATAGGAAGCATAATACATTTCCCTTCCTATTTTGATTTCTGTGATTGAATTAAGGGAAATAAATTAAACGTATTATTTTCAGTGTATTGACATTTATTTCACCATAAAGTGAACTAAAATTATTTGAATTATTTAATGCCAGTGAAGAGACAAAAAAACTTCCTCCTTGTTTCCAAATAACATTGGTCTTGATCTTTGCTGTGAATGACATAGTGTTTTAGAAACTTATCTTCCCCCTGGGTGTAAGAGATTTAAAAGCAAATTCTTTTTCTATTATGACTTCCCTCATGGGCAGGTTAATTCCGGAATACTTTATATTATTTTCTTAATACAACTTTTCCCATTCTTTCAGAACTTTCCAAGGATTATATTTTCCTAGGAAACCATCCAAACTTGAGCTAATATAATTTATTTAAAACTTTTCTCCATTTAATTGTAGATAGACCATAAATAAAATTTATAACTATTTACTTAATAGTTTTTAAGCTTGACCTAAAAGGGATGGTATTTTTGCAGGATTATATTTTCAAAATACAGAACAGATTAATATTTCGATGGTCCTTTAGGAATTTGTTACTATTATTTAAGCAGAGCACTACAGTTGGATAAACATTTCTGATTCTGACATACTCTGTATATAACTGTTTTTTTTTTTTAAAGGACAAATCTATAAGTAAACAGAACAAATCTACACTGCTCCCTGCTTCCCACTCTGATTCTTCAGACATGGCTGTTTTTCTTCTGCTTTGAACGATAACATTCAGGATGTTTAATGCTTCCCCTGAGCATATTCTTTTCACAATTTTAAGTCAAATGCATCACTGAATACATTTGGTAATCTAGGCTACAAGAAGGGGTCTCTTATCTTACTACACATATACTTGGCATTGCTCTTAAGGAGCATTAATTCATGATCGTTGCCCAATCAAACATAACTTTTATTAATGTCTAGAAGTACAGGCATTGTATTCTTCAGTAACAAATGTCTAACACTGAAGAATAAAATATGTTTACTGCTCAAGAGAATTATTAGAGCATTCAGAGTGAGCTCTTAGGATGTTAGCCAGCCCCTTCTCCTCTCAGTGGTGGCATGTGAAGTCTGTGCTAACAGAGGTGTTCTTGTGAGCTTCTTTTCTGTTAGGTAGCCATCAAGTTTCTGGTTTGGTTCTTATTTCAAGAAGAATGAAATCACATTTACATGGGAAATATATGAGTAACATAGTATGTAATAGTTAACTTATTTTGATTTTCCATTCATTTACTGGTCACAATCTGAAACAGACTGTGTGATTGCTCACTGAGGGGTAAGCTTGGATAAAACTCAAGGATATCAGAAAATAAGCTGCTTTCTGAGATTAAGAAACAGCCAGCCAACTCAAACCTGCCTAAATATAGAAATGGACTATTTTGTAGGACTGCTCTGGAAAAGCTAGGAAGAGATATATTTTTTAACTTAATTTTATTGTTTTTGTTCTGATTACAAAAGAAATACAATTTCATTATAAAAATTAAAAAAAATTGGCAAGAGAAGAATCATCAACACAGACTTAAACAGCATTTTGATGTTTAGTTTTAGAGTTTTTATATGCATAACACATATTTTCTAGTGGAATAATTTTTTATATACTTTATTTTATTTATTTTTTAAAGATTATACTTGTTTATTTTTAGAGTGAGAGGAAGGGAAAGAGAAAGAGAGGAAGAGAAACATCAATGTGAGAAAGAAACATTCATCAGTTTCTTCTCGTAGGAGCACTGACTGGGGAACCAATCTACAGTGAAGGCATGTGGGATTCAAACCAGTAACTCTTTGCTTTGTGGGATGACGTCCCAACAACTGAGCCACAATGGTCAGGGCTATACTTTAATTTATTAATTTAAACACATATCATAACAAACACTGTGCTGGGGATATAGTAATTAAAGATGAACCTAGTCCTTGACTTATTAAACTTGCATTCTATTTAGAAATGTGTCTAAATTAAGTCAATTGTAATCAGATTTTATTCTCTAGATCATAAGCAAGGTTCTTTTATTTTTAAAATTTTTTTCATAAATAACGGTCATGCCATTTTCCCCTGCACACTAATTTTATATGCTGCAGAGCAGTCCACTGAATGGGTTTACCATAGTTTTTTAAAAAAATTATATTTTATTGACTATGCTGTTAAAGTTGTCCCAATTTTTCCCCCTTTGCCTTCCCACATCCAGCACCCCCTATTCCTTAAGACCATCCCCACACCATTGTTCATGGCCATGGGTCATGCCTAAAGTTCTTTGGCCACTCCATTTCCTATACTGTACTTTACATCCCCATGGCTATTCTGTGACTACTAATTTGCACTACTTAATACCCTCACCTCTTGATCCATTCCCCACACCCCTTCCCATCTGGCCACCATCAAAATGCTCTCTGTATCCATGATTCTGTCCCTGTTCTTCTTTCTTAGTTTTTTAGATTCAATTGTTAATAGATAAGTGTTTATTGTCATTTTATTCTTCATAGTTTTGATCTTCTTTTTCTTAAATAAGTCCCTTTAACATTTCAAATAATAATGGTTTCGTTTTTTCTTGCCTGGGAAGCTCTTTATCTGCCCTTCAATGCTACATGATAGCTTTGCTGGGTAGAGCAATCTTGGCTGTAGGTTTCTGCTTTTCATGACTTTGAATATTTCTAGACAATCCCTTCTAGCCGGCAAAGTTTCCGTTGAGAAATCAGCTGATAGTCTTAGGATACTCCCCTGTAGATAACTAACTGCTTTTCTCTTGCTGCTTTTAAGATTGTTTCTTTATCTTTAACTTTTGGCATTTTAATTATGATGTCTCTGTGGGCCTGTTTACATCCATCTTGTTTAGGACTCTCTGTGCTTTCTGGACTTGGCTGTCTATTTCCAACTAAACTACGCTCTCATGTTTAGTTGTAGCTCTTATTTACTAATCTCCTCTAAGACCCATGTAAATCGGTATGTTCCTGCCATTTGTTCTCTCCAAAACATCACCCATTCTCTGTGAACACTAATAAATGGATGTAATGGGATAACCTGTGCATTCCTGATACCCAGCCCCACGGATAACCTTTTCAATAAAAGCCTTTGAACAAAGGGACTCTGGGCCTTCCCCACTGGAAGGATGTGCCACATCCCCTCTCCTGGCAAGCTGACGACTCATGTTTATTCCCCCATCCATGACAACCCTAGGATGGGCTCTGTGTCATTCAGAGTCCCTTCTGAGCCCCGCTTCCATCTCAGCTGGCTCCGGACGGTAACTCTCAGATCCGGGAGCACCGGGCTCCCTGCGACGTGCTCCGTGCTCCGTGCCCCCGCAGCAGTTGCTGCCGGGACCTGGAATGAGTGGCACTCTGCACGGCGGCCGCCCCAGCTCGCCTCCATGCTGTACGGGAGGGGCCCCTGGAGCAGACAGAGCTAGGCCATGGGAATGGGACTTGGGAGCCACTTGTGCACCGAGCCATGCTCACTGGGGATGGAGGTTGAAGGTTCAAGTACTGACAGCATGGTGTGCAGCAAAGTATGCCTTTGCAAACCACTGGGGGCCATGGCAAGGACAGAGTTTCACAGTTCTTAGCGAGGCTGTTCTTCTGTGGGGCTGTGAGGCCGTGCTGCCTGGGAGACCAAGTGCATGCCTTGTGGACACCTGCCCCCAGTCCAGACACTCAGTCCCTCCTCCTCCTGCTGAGGCTGCCCTTGATGCTGCCTGTGAGGCTGTGTGGGGTTTCCAGGGTTCTGGTGGTCCTTGAGTGCAGGCAACTCACTGCATACAGGGACTAGGACATGTGAGGCACAGAGCTGAAGGAGCATCAGGGAGTCTCTCCCATCAGCCATGATGGCGCCTGCCAGAGGT